GTTTGGCAAGAACGTTGAAACTCATGAAAACCAAGCAAAAAAAAAAATTTGAAAAAGATTGAAGTAATGTGGTGTGGTTTGTTTTGAAAGGTTGTAAGTTTGATAATAGGTTCAATTCTTAGGATGTTCTTGAGAGATGGCCACTCTTACGCTTCACTTAGGAATTGCCACCAAAATTTTCAAATTGTTTCCAACCATAACCCCTAGCCATGACATTACTACCCTACTTAAGACCCTTGGATTCTAGAGGGGCGTGGTCAAAGAACGGTGGAGGGAGATGGATTTCAACCCTATGGAGAGAGTATGCATAGTTGAGATGTCGGGATAACCTTATGATTCCACATAAAAATATCTTTTTCCGGTTCCCTCGAGGGACCATGAGGAGCTAGTTAGGGGATGAATTGAAGCTAGAGGAGAGAACGCGGACCGTCTTAGTTGGGGCTAGGGCGGAGAATGAAATCATTAGCTCTCTACGCTTAGCTTAGGTTTGTCTTTTTCAACCTTGAGCATCTTGGAACGTGTTTTCCCTCTTTGAATTAAGAAAGATAAGTATTCTTTGGTGCATTTATTTGCATGTAAGTCCAAATTGAGCATTCCATTACCTTGAGGCTTGATTGGTTTTCCTAAAACCTTGTCATGTTATGTTTGTTGTGTTTGTCTTTTTGTTCTGGTTTTCTTTGCTTGAGGACAAGCAAGAGGCAAGTGTGGGGGATTTTGATGAGTGGCATTTATGCCACTCTTTTATCCTTTTTCTCTAAGGATTCTCCCCTCATTTGCACTTGTTTGGCCCTTTTTCTAAGTATTTTTACTTAGTTTTGCTTCCTCTTTTCTTTTCTCTTTTATCTTCCCTTTTCTTAGTCTTCTCGCTTTGTTTTTATTTTGATTTCCATGCTTTTTTTTGTAGGTATTATGTACCGAAAGAAAGAGGATATCAAGAAGCCAAGCTAACTATTGTGCGCGGGGTGTTGTGCGGCTGCTGTGCGGGCGCGCAACCCTGTCCAAACCCGCGCAGCAAGGCTGAAGAAACAGAGCCTGACCAGAGAGTTTGCGTGACTTGTTGTGCGGCTTCTGTGCGGGCGCGCGACCTGTTGCGCGGGCATGCAAGCCTACTGTGCGGGCGCGCTTAATTTTCTCGTACCCTCAAAGTTGCGGCCGCGCACTACGCTGAGAGGGCGCACTCACCTACTGCGCGGGCGTGCATATATCGTGTGCGGGCGCGCACGGCTGGGTTTCTGATTTCTTTGCGCCTTGTTGTCCAAGTCTCTTTCTTTTGGGGGAGCCACATATATATAAAGGGGACTCTTTGTAATAGAGGACACTAAGTACTTATTCCATAGAACATTAGCCTAATCTAGAGAGAGAAAATAGATTGGTATTCAAGCATCCTTTATTATATTCAACTTTGCTTAAGTTTTAATATTCCATCAATCAAGCAAGAATCCAAGTTTTCATCTTTCATTAATCCTTTCTTTAGTAATCTCTTCTCCTTTCCTTTAGTATTATTTATTTGTTTTATTGTTACTTATTCTTGTCAATCTTATTAGCTTATCTAGTTGTTATTGATTTCATTGATTTTAATCATGTTTTGTTTTGAGTTTCTTGAGTTTATTTCTAGTTTGGATATTATCTTTAATCTCCCTTCTCTAGGCTGAACTTTTAACTAGGGGAAGGGGTGGAAGATATGATTTGATATTGGATGAATGATGATGGTTGGATTGAACTTATGCCATATATTGATGAAAGAAATGATTTTTATTAGCTTGGGATTATTGTTGCACTCTATTTGATGTTTTCTAGTTTAAGTGCATGAAAGTGATTTATACTAGATTAGGATCATCTCTATTTTAATGATTGCATGAGATTGAGTTATTAAAGTGGAGTTTTTATGGATTGTGCTTCTTTATTCTCTTGATTTGATTGTAACTAATAGGATGCATGAGAATGATCCTTATTAATGTAGACCTCTTTCATTGATTTGCCTAGACTATTGCATGAGAATGTGTCGTTTAGGTAGAATCTTGTGTTCTTTAGCATATGTTTCATTATAATCACCATTATTCTCCTCTTTCTAATCATATTGGACACCCCTGTATCCCTAGCGTCATTTTCTATTGATTTTAATCATCATTTTATTTCTTATTTGTAGTTTTAGTGTTCTTACTCAACGAAACCAACAAAAACAATCCCCTTTTCACTCTTTTAGTGATATTTTATGTTGAATTAGCGTGCTTCCCTAGTGGTTCGACCCTTTGCTTGCCACTAACTAGTTTAGTGTAGGTTTAGGTATTATAAATGAATAATTTGGTTAGGGTAGTAGCTTAACGACCTATCTAACACGTGATCATTATGCGCTGGAATTCCGCCACCTATGTGTGGTTTTGTGCTGGCATGGTTAGCTCCCGTGTCAGTTAACTTCAATTTATTTGGGGGAGGTAGAGTTGGAAACCCGTTTGATGCATGATCAACGCTAAATAAACTATTTAGTGGTCTAGTTGAAAAGTCTTGTTGAATGTTGTGTGTTCTTGTAAACAGGTTTATTGAGGAAAGTGTGTGTTGATAGGTGAAAGCATGTTAGTGTGTTTATTTACGCTTATGTACTCAACTTTGCTGATTCTCTGTGTGTGTGTGTGTTTGTTTTGGCCATGTCTTTATCTTGGCCCTATGATAACTCCTTTTTAATGGAGAGTAGTGGAAACAAGTAGAGATAAGCTTCAGGTATTGAAGCATATTCATGACAGTGCATGAGTGAAGAGCGAATCATGCTAGTATTCATTAGTTACGATGTGTTTTATGCTTTACTTATTTATGATATTATTTATATGTGGAACTAATGTTAAGTTTTGGATTCGGCTCGGTTTTTAATAAGGGCCTCTAATAGTTCAAAGTTGTAGGTAGACTTATATTTGACTTCGTTTGATTTGATTTTAACTTTACTTTCGTTTGGATGACTTTTGAGTTGACCGTTTTAAACGGCATTTGATTTTTAAGTCTTCCATTGTGTATCTTTGATAGTTGCTTAAAGTGTTTTCACGGTGGCAGTAATGTCTTAGATAGTCCTAAATCGTATTTTGAAAGAGTAGAATAGGTATTTAAAGGAAAGGAATTTCTAGGGTGTTACAAAGTGGTATCAGAGCTTTGGTTGAGATTTTTAATTACCACTAACCCGAAAACGTTTTTTTTAACTATGTTTTAAACTTGGCCAAGTGCTTATTTGATTTTGCAGTGTTAATTTTGTTTTGATTTTATTTTAAAGGAGGACCGAATTTTTTTTTTTTAATTATTTAATATGGTCCGAATTTTTTTTAAGGGGCATCCGAAATTTTATTTTTATAAGGGGCGTCCGAATTTTTTTTTTTATTAGGGCCAAAATATTGGCCCTGCTTCCCTTTGATTTCGAAATTTTTTTTTAAGCAGGGTAAAAATATTTTTAGTTTGTTCATTGTGCAAGAAGCAAGGATTGAGGTAAGGATTATGTTTTAAAAGCTTTTAATAACATGTTGGTGAGCTTGGGTAGGAAAAGAAAGGGCATATAGGCTAGAATTTAATTTCTTTCCTATGTGCATAATTTTATTTTGAGGTGTTCAAGCATATTGTATGACTAGATGTTTGTTGATGAAAGCATGAAATATGTGAATAATTATATGTGATCTTTCAAGATTGTATGATTGAACACTGAACTTAATTTCCTACAAAGACTATGTTATTTATTTTATTTTCTTTGGGAAGGGAATTCTTTTCTAAAACTTTTCCTCTACAGGATGCAAATCTTTCCTAGCAAATTTTCACAAATGGGATCACTTGTTAAGAAACATAATGGACACCCCTACGATTTTGTAGAAAAGACCAAATACTTTTGTTCCTACATGAGCAATGTCTTACGAGATAGAGTTTATGACACCCTGATCATATTTCAGCAATGATTGTCCATTGTCTTCCGGAGGAGCCTCCTTACATTGCTGTCAAAGAGAGATTCTCTGATTTTTTACCTTCCAGGAGACATCCCAAATTACTATAAATACAAAGATTATTATGGCATGCTTTCCTGAATAATTACCTCGTATGAGTGGAAAAAGCTTATTGTCAGCACTTAAACCTTCCTTACCCTGACTACTACTACGATAATCCAGTAGGGAACAATCCTCCTCCTAGTCATCAGTCAGAAAGTTCTTCACCTTCGTCAGGGGTAATCAGGTAGAAAATGGAGAACAACAAGAGGGAGATAGTTCACTTATGGAAATTTCTAATCCTAATCCACCTCCAACTCCAATAATAATAGACATTTCAACTGATGAGGAGGAAAAAGGGGAGTTTGTACAAGTAAAACCCGAACCTAAGACACCTGAACCAATGGAGGAGACAGATGATTTTGACTTCGATCCTACAAGCTACAAACAATCAGCTGACAAAAGGGACAATGTTCTAAAGGAGTAGACTCCTATAAATTCTTTTCATTAGGAAGTTTTAGTTATCTTAAATATTAACATTGTTTGCAGTTTAAGTAATAAGTGGCATGTCCACAAGGATTCAGTGAACTTATGAAAATTCATAAGTGATTAAACTCATTTTTATTTCAGTATTTTATTCTTCCTTTATATCAAAAAAATTTCCACTTTATTTCTTTACTTCTTTCTGCCAATTTAATTCGTCTCAATCACAACAAATAGTTCCATCTCCAAATTATCCATCTTGTATTGATATCCCAAATTTACAAACCTTACCCCAATTGAATTTAATTCATAGTTTCAAGCCTTGAGGGTTCATGGGAATTATTTTTATTTATTTATGTGATGCTTTATTAAATGCATGGTTGGTTAGTAACCAATAATTAATTGCTAAGCTACAAATTTTGGGAAGTTTAGCACTATTACCCCAAATTGTTAGCTTCAAATTTATTGTGTATGATTTAAGAGTAATTAATTAATAGGTGAGTGTATGCCTTGGGATCTAACCTAAACCATATTTGATTTAGAGCCTTATTCTTTTAATTTAGGAGAAGAAAGATGGCAGGGGGAAGCAGTACCAACAATGAGGGAAATGAACTTAGCAAAGTAGTGAGGCAATTGGCAGCAGTTGCCCAACAACTGACAAGAAACTCGACTTGTAATGGGGATGCCCAAGGGAAGCTTTTTAAGAAGGTGGCTCAAAGTAAACCACCAACATATCAAGGGGAGCCTGATCTTACCATACTGAAAAACTGGTTGAGGGAGTTTGAGAAGTTGTTTGGAGTTGTAGGATGCCTAGAAAATTCAAAAGTAAGCTGTGCTACCTACTATCTGAGGGGTAAAGCTGACCATTGGTGGCAACAAAATGAAACTACAATTAGGGCACTACCTGGATTCAATTGGGCTAAGTTCCAAGAGAAAGTGAGAGATAAGTTTTACCCTAGCCTCTTACAGAAGCAGAAAGCTGAGGAGTTCTCAAACCTTAGGATGGAAAATTGTCATTAACTGAATACTACACCAAGTTTATTGAGTTGTTTCGTTTTTCTGAAGAGTATGTTGCTACAGAAAAGGAAAAGGCTAGAAAGTTTGAGAGTGGCTTGACTACTGATTTTCAGTTAAAGCTGTGCGGGCAAGTGTTTGAGACCTTGGATGAAGTATATGGAAGGGCCGCACACCTTTACACATTGGAGGAGAAGAAAAAGGAGTTAGCTGAGATAGAAGGAAGAGAGAAGAGGAAGGAAGTGGGGCAAGTTTATGGTAACCAACAGGGAAACCAGAACGGTTTTAAGAAGCATAAGTATCACCATAACAACAATAACTTCCACAATAATAATAACTTCCAAGGTAATAATCGTCAAGGAGGACGTAATATCAATGGAGGAACTAAAAACCATAACCAAGTGAATAACAAGAATGGAAGGACTTATATTTGCAAAAGGTGCAAGAACAATCACCCTTGTAGGGATTGCGAAGGCAATCTGGTTGCTTGTCGCGCTTGTAATAAACTTGGGAATAGGGAGTATGAATGTTTCTCTAAGAATACTAATGGGAACCGGCAGAACAATAATCCAAGAGGAAACCAGTGGAATTTTCAGGAGAACAACAATAACTTTACTAGGAATAAGAAAGTGCAACAGAATGGGGTGAAGAACAATAACAATTACAGTGGGAACAATCAACATAAAGGTGGAAACAATTCCACGAAAGATGTGATCACTTGTACTTTTTCTATTAACTTTATTCCTATTAAGGTATTGTTTGATTCTGGTACACTTTTTCTTTTGTTTCTAAAGGCATTGTTTCAAAACTGAAAGACTGTATAGGATCAGTAGAAGTAGTAGATCTACCAATAACAATTCCTACATGTGAGGTAGTGAAATGTACCAAAACCTTTAGAAATGTGCCTTTAGAAATAAAAGGGAAAGTATTCTTGTCTGACCTCATTGAGTTTGGGTTGAGTGACTTTGATCTCATTTTGGGAATGGATTGGTTTAGTAAGTACAATGCTGAGATCAGTTGTCGGTCGCAGAAAGTGAAAATGTCACAAATGGGAATGAATCGATAACTTATTGGATGCATGGTGAAACCAAGTGCCCAAGGTTAATATCGGTGCAAAATTGGCAAAGTACATGAAGAAGGGGCATCCAGTATATTTCTGTAGTGTAAGGAATATGGATCATGAACAAGTGACGAAACCCAAAAATATAGAAGTAGTCAATGAATTCCTGGATGTATTTCCAAAGGAGGTTCTTGGAATGCCACCTAAGAAGGAAATTGACTTTACCATATATTAAGTTCCTGGAACAACCATAATACTAAAGCACCATATCGAATGGCACCTGCTGAAATGAGTGAGTTAAAGGAGCAATTACAGGATTTTTTGGAAAAGGGATACATTAGACCAAGCGTTTCTCCTTGGGGAGAGCCAGTTTTATTTGTGAAGAAGAAAGATGGAAGTATGAGGTTGTGCATTGAATATAAGGAATTAAAAAAGGTGACCATAAAGAATAAGTATCCCCTATAAAGAATAGATGATTTGTTTGACCAATTAAAGGGTGCTATAGTGTTTTCAAAGATCGATTTGAGGTCTGGATATCACCAATTGAGGATTTCAGATGAGGACATCCCTAAAACTGCATTTAGGACAAGATATGGAAACTACAAGTTTACAGTTATGCCATTTGGATTGACTAAGCTCCAGCAATCGTTATGGATTTGATGAATAGGGTGTTTCATCAATTTATGGATAAGTTTGTAGCAGTGTTCATAAATGACATATTGGTGTACTCAAAGAGCAAAAAAGACTATGCAGAACACCTAAGGGAAATTTTGGAAACACTAAGAGAAAACCACCTTTATGCAAAGTTCTCTAAGTGTGAATTTTTGTTGGAAAAGGTAGCATTTTTAGGACATTTTGTGTCCAAGGATGGAGTAGAAGTAGACCCAGCCAAGATAGAAGCTGTTAAGAGTTGGCTAACACCCAAAACAGTATCTGATGTGCGGAGTTTCTTAGGTTTAGCAGGGTATTACAGGCGTCTTGTTAAAGATTACTCTAAGATCACTAAACCTATGACTACCTTAATGAAAAAGGATAAGAAGTTTGAGGTGGGATGATAAGTGTGAGGAAGCATTCTAAATGATGAAGCAAAAACTAGTCACAACACCAATGCTTATATTGCTAGACAATAGTGGGGTGTATGATGTGTATAGAGACGCATCAAAGAATGGTTTAGGGTGTATAATTATGCAAAATGGAAGGGTGATTGCATATGCGCTGAGGCAATTCAAGACACACGAAGTGAATTATCCAACCCATGATTTGGAGCTAGCTGCAATCATTTTTGCACTAAAGATTTGGCGCCATTACCTATATTGAGTGAAATGTTGAATTTACACAGATCTTAAGAACTTGAAGTACATTTTCAGCCAAAAGGATCTGAACTCTCGTCAAAGAAGATGGTTAGAGTATACAACGGATTATGACTTAGATATACAATACCATGAGGGGAAAGCGAATGTAGTTGCGGATGCTCTAAGTCGTAAGTCCATTCATAGACTAAACACATTATTAGTAGTTAATGAGTTGTGTAGAGAAATGATGAAATTGAATTTAGAAGTTGTATAATGGGGAGTACTAGCAGGTATCCTTGCAAACCTAAGCATCAATATTCGATGAGATACGAGCAAACCATGAGGGAGATGTAAAGTTAGATAGGATTCGCGAGAAAATTAAGCAAGGAAAAGCTACAAACTTCAAAATTTATGAAAATGGGAGTTTGAGGTATAAAGGTCGATGGTGCGTACCACAGAAATGTGAGAAAGTGAAAAGAAAATTAATGGAAGAGGGCCACAATACATTCTACTAAGTACACCCAAGAGGGGACAAGCTATAAAGGGATTTGAAGAAAATGTTTTGGTGGCCTAGAATGAAAAATGAGGTTGCTGATTTTGTAGCAAAATGTTTAACATGCCAAAAGGTGAAGATAGAACACAAGAGACCTCAAGGGACTGTGTAGTTATTGAAAATCCCAGGATGGAAGTGGGATTGCATTACAATGGATTTTGTTACTTGCCTTCCTAAGTCAAAGAGTGGAAATGACACAATTTGGGTAGTAGTAGATAGACTTACAAAATTCGTTGTGTTTATACCAATGAAAGAGACTTGGAAAATGGAGCAACTTGCAAAAGCTTACATCAAACATGTTGTAAGGTTACATGGGGTTCCAAAGGATATTGTGTCTAATAGAGATTCAAGGTTTCTTTCAAAATTCTGGAAAAGTGTACAGGAAAATATTGGTACAACACTTAAGATGAGTACGACGTTTCACCCTGCCACAAATGGACAAACCGTAATAACCATTCAAACCTTGGAGAACATGTTGAGAGCCTGTGTAATAGACTTCCAAGGAGGGTGGGAAGATAGCTTGGATTTAATTGAATTTTCCTACAATAATAGTTACTATGCGAGCATAGGAATGGCTCCATTTGAGGCTTTGTATGGGAGGAAGTGTAGTAGTCTAATTTGTTGGAATGATATTAGTTAAATAATGATTCTAGGGCCTCAAATTATTGTGGATACAGTAAAGCAAGTAAGGGAAATTCTATCTAAGATTCAAGCAGCTCAAGACCAAAAAAGAGTTGTGCAGACTTGAAGCGTAGAGAAGAAGAGTTTGAAATTGGTGATAAAGTATTGTTAAAGGTGTCACCAATGAAAAAGTGATGAGATTTGGGAAGAAAGGAAAGCTTAGTCCAAAATACATTGGACCATATGAAATACTGCAAAGAGTAGGCAAAGTAGCTTATAGGTTGGCCTTACCTATGGTGCTTAGTAGGGTAAATGACGTATTTTGTGTGTCTCAATTGAGAAGATACATACCTAATAAGTCCCATGTGTTACAACCCAAAACCATTGAGTTAGACCAAAATTTGACCTATGAAGAGAGACCTGTCAAGATCCTTGACAGTAAAGTGCGTAGTACACGCAATAAGAATGTTAAGATTGTGAAAGTACTTTGGTCTTACCAGGAATATGAGGAAGCCATTTGGGAGGCAAAAGGCGAAATGAAAAAGAAATAATCAGAGTTTTTTCAGGTATTTTGAGTTACGGGGGCGTAACTGGTTTTCTTTAAGGGGGGTAGAATGCGGTAGAATTTCACGCTTTTACCCTATGTTTTTAGTTATTTTTGTGATTTTTGCACAATTTTTACAAAGTATTTTGAGTAATTGTGTTCTCAAAGAGACACAAAAGGGTAAAGGAATGAAAAAAAGTACATCAGTATTATACAAAAAGAGGAAAAAGTTTAAATTTTGTTCCCAAGTTTTGGGACGAATCTTTTTTTAAGGGAGGTAGACTGTAATACTCCATATTTTTATATTAAATATGTATTTTGTAAAGGTATTTAAATAATTTTTATTTTTTAATTATGGTATTTTAATTATTTATTCTATGTAAGTTTCGAAATATTTTATAAAAGGAAGATTTATTTTATTATTTATTTTATAAAAGTTGGGGTTTATTTTAAGAAAGTATGATTTTTTAATAAGTTTTATTAAGGAAGGGATTAGGAAAATTAAAGGAGAAAAGTTTAGGGGAAAGGGTTGGTAGAGAAGGGGTATAAATATCCCACTTATGAGGCAAATCAATTATACCAAGAGTGAAGAAAACCCAAGGTAAACTTCTCTCTCTCTTATCCTTATTTTTCTTTCCTTTTCTTTTCCCCTTCCTCTTTCTTTTTTTTTCGGCTGCTCTTTTCCTCTCCACCGCTGCCAGTAGCGTCAGCCGCCAGTAGCAGGTGGTCGCCTTTGCCAGTAGCCGGCAGCAAGTGGCTGTCGTTCTCCTTCTTCCTCCTTTTTCGATTAAAAAAACTTAATCTTTATTGTTTTAATTTAATCTATGCTTAAATCTAATTGTAAATTATGAGTTTTGGGATTTGATTTTAATGTTTGATTTTAAGTCTATGTTTGGAATTGTGAATTATTGGTGTTGGTAATTGAATTGTGAAGCATGATATATTTGTGATGGTTTATGGATCGAAAAATTATATTTTGGCATGAAGATATGGACCACACTTTTATTTATGGCATGCTAGAATATATGTTTGATTAAACTACATATTTAATTTGGCTTGGAATATTGAAAATGAATTTTATTATGGATCGTATAATTTTTATTGGTGCTTTAAGCATAATAAAGGAGCTATATAAGTGTCTATGTACACGAGGAATAAATTTTTTGTTGGTGCCTTTGTGCACTTAAGGTGTTTCTAACACAGAGGATAGGACTTGTGGCGCTTTATGCGTTTAAGGTGTCTTTGACACTGAGGTAGAATTAAAAAGGGTTCAACATTAAATATTATGTGGTCACTAATTATTCAAGAAATAAATTGGTATGTTTGTTTGATTGAATAATTATTGTGGATTGAATTATTATGCTTTGAGAGTCATCACCAAGTCTAATAATATGTGTAAGGAGGGTGATCCCATCGTAAGGGGTACTCTTCTTAAATGCCCTTGGCCACTTAAAAGCCTAGGACTACACTTGTTAGGGTGTAGTAGGATTTGAATTCCTGACTGTTTGGGGGACCTTGAATTAAAATTGATTCTATCATCATGCTTTTTTTTATAAGAAACAAGTAGGAGTCGCCAATAAGTTTTAGGAAAAACTCATAAACCTCGTTCATTCCTTTCTTCCATGTGGAGTTCATGGAATAATTAGCATAAAAAATAAGTTTAGCCATGCCCAAATTAGTCTATAAACCAGAAATGAGTTCAGGAGCGAGGGTACTAAGATAACGTTCCTTTTAAAGGGGAATCGTCATCCTAGCCCTAGAACGGGCTCTACTAGCTCTTCCTTTTTCAAAATTTCATCACCAAACAATATATGCAACGCGATACCTAAAACTATCTTGGTTGATTATTTACAAGCATTAATTCACGTAGTAATTACATTGCGAAAGTCGTTATTCTTATTTGATAATATTCGTGAAAGAACAATAAATAAACAAGATTCGCCTTGGCTTTAGTGATCAACCAACAATTATTTAATTCAATTCTAGTCTTTATTTA